TTTTAAAAAATATATTATTTTAATTTAGAATCGTGACGTTTCTGCAGAAAACCGTTCGCAAACTTGTATAAGAAGCAAGTTATTAATTATTAAGCAAACCATTGTGAAGTTTTAGAACCAAGAAACATTTGGTTAGTATTTCAAAGATTTAATATCAAATTAGGGTTGCCATGTATCTAGAAAATAAAATGTTAATAAAGTAAATAATTTGTAATTTACCGATACTTCGAATATAGTTTAAAAGCCTTTTAATTAATAACATTTTTACGCAGAGTTGCCAACATAACTGAAAATGCAAATTGAAACGATTTTTATTTTAAAAAATAAATTTTCGTGTGTTTTTATTAATATTTTTAAAATTTTATTATTATCGATTTTTTTATACACTATTTTTTAGCAATAGAATTGTTCTGCAAAATAAATATTATATTTATGAATATAGAGTTGCCAACATTACAAAAAATGGAAATTAAAAAAAATTGGTGTAATAAATACAGATTACATCATATGGTTTTTATTAACATTTGTAACATTTTGGTGTTAATTGAATTTTTATGCAGGGTTGCCAACCTGTTTTAATTAATTGAAAGTTGAATTAGCAAAAAAATAAATATTATTTAAATTAAAAAAAAAATTGCATGGGGTTGCCAACATAATTAAAAATATATTTTGTTAATAATATTTAATAAAGTTGTCCCCTATTGGGTAATTTCATAGCAAGTTTAGGTAATAAAAATATGCATATATCTTTTATAAACAAACGGTGTTTCGAGTTCGAAATATTTTTGAATAGAGTTGCCAAATCAGAAAAATAATTTCGTTCATAATTTGCAATGTGGCTATGATATTGAGCAAATTTCGTTACTTTGATACACATATGTATGTACATATGTTTATATAATATATTATAATTTTATATGAGCACTCAAAGAGCATAATTTGGACTCTCTATGGAAAGTCTCGTTTTTTGATTTAAAAATCATTTATTTTCAATAGAGTTGCCATCTATTCGAAAGTTTTATTATATTTTATATTCTTTTAACGGGTAATAAACAAGTCCTGTCATGATTTTGAAATATTTTTATGTTGGGTTGCCATATCGGAAAAAATAAGTTCGCTTAAAAATAGCAATATCGCTACGATGTAATGCGAATTTAGACTATTTTGAACTATATTAATAATAAATTATAAAATATCTTGTGTAAAAAATATTCTCTTAGAATTACTGAAAAGTTCAAATGGCACCTGGGATTTCTTAAAATATGCGAACTCAATATTTCCAGATCTAGGTTCACATACTGAATATATGTTGCCTGCATCCAACCCACTTCATGCTACTTCTCATTTACTTGAATAAATCACACCGATTATGCCATCATTTTCATATCAAAATCACTTAGCATTTATTCTTTTCAATTAACTGGCAATTCTAAAACACTTAACTTGCACAAAAATACTCACATTCACCTCATGAAAACAATGCGCATCGTGCCTACATGCACCCCTTTCGATTTGCATTGGCTTGCCATGTTTAGGAGCGCCATGCCACATTGCGCTCGTCCCACCGCTGCATTTATTGACACGTCAACTCGACTAAGTGCTCAGTTAGCTATTTTGAGCGGAGTAATTTTCATATTTGTCAGTCAATTGTCAACTTAACGTGTACGCACCAACAACAACCACAATAATAATAACAACAAATTGCTATTGAAAGTCATCAGCGCGTGAGTGTGTGTGTTTGTGTGGCACGCCAAGTCGAGCGCAAATCATTTCGCATGTTGCGGCAACATGTTGACAAGGTCAACAAGACGCGTACAGTAGCTGCATAACTGTAGTAAAAGCAAACAGCAGCAATGCCAAACACAACAACAACATCCTCGGCACTAACAGTTATATAAGCGCGTAAATGCGAGTGCACGAGTGCATAAATCATGCGAACGTCGCTTGTCAATGGCAAATTCCGCCAATTAAATTAAGCGGCAAAATGTGTTGCCGCATGCGTTGCAATGTTTCATAATTTACCACCGTTGTTGTTGTTGTCACTTTGGCTGCGGCGGTAGTGGCGGTGGCTCAATGTCATTAGGCTGCTGCATTGCGTCGAAATGATGAAGTTATTTATTGTTATTGTTATTGTTGTTATTAGAACCTCACACTGTCGGTTCGCAGTGTTTTTTTTTTTGTTTTTTTTTTTTTTTTTTTTTTTTTTTTTTTTTTTTTTTTTTTTTTTTTTTTTTTTTTTTTTTTTGATATACCCTGAAAGGTTTTGAAAAAGTTTAACACAAAGTTGTTGAGAGAGCTGTCTGAAGTTTGGCACACATCATTTCCGCTCTAAGAAGCTGCTTATTTATAGGAACCGTCGGTATCGAACTACTATATGATGTGATTGCCATACAAACTGATCTATCAAGCTCAAATCCTTGAAACTCCAGTCCTTGTATGAAAAACTTTTTTATTTCACAAGATATCTTCAAGAAATTCGGTATGGATTATCACTGAAAGCAATACTATAATCTCCGAAGAAGCTGTTCAGATCGGTGCCCTATATCATATAGCTGCTTTTTTATTTCACAAGATATCTTCAAGAAATTCGGTATGGATTATCACTGAAAGTAATACTATGATCTCCAAAGAAGCTGTTCAGATCGGTGCCCTATATCATATAGCTGCCGTACAAACTGATCGTTCAAACTCAATTCCTTGTATGAAAAACTTTTTTATTTGATTAGATATGTTCACGAAATTTGACATGAACTATTACCTAAAGTAACGGTATAATCTCTGAAGAAATGGTTCCGTTCGGAGCACTATAGCATATAGCTGTCATACAAACTGTACAATCGAAATAATGTCAAAAATTTTCTGTACATTTTTATGGTATAAAAAATGCATCTGTGAACGGTATTTTAGCCTCAGTGTAGCCGAAGTTAACATTTTCCTGTTTTTGCCATTATTTATTTTCGTATACATTTTACTTGCTGCAGCCGCTGTCGCTGCAACTGTTGACATTGCAAACTGGTAAATTGATCAATTATTATGCGTTTAGCAGCGCGTTTGCCTTCCTTCTTTTCATTCTGTTGCGTGGTAATGGCTTCGCTTCTAGTTCTTGTTGTTGTGGATAACTATGTATGTAGCCCGCAGCTATATATGCACTTACATATGTACATAGCAGCACTAATAGAATTTTAAATGCTGTCATAAATTGTTGAGTGCCAACATTAGCGGCATTTTTTGTATGACACACACACACACACACACATGCTTACATAAGTCTCTGCAAACTAGGAGTAAAGAAAAAATTGGAAATATCCATTGAAATGATGCCAGTTGATGATATGCAAATCATTGTTTGCCGCATGTGGGCTTTGACAGCCGGTTAGACAGTTTTGGAGTATTTAACGCGCTCGCTGAGTGCTCTCAGGCTTGTGTCGCTGCAAATAATTCGATCTTCAGCATGCGCTGTGCGGAAGGCGCGCAAGAAATACGGAAATGCCATAAGCAGACATGAAAGTGTTGTGTGGGTTTGTGGCGCTTGTTTGACGTCAATGCTTAAGAAGTGGAATGTTTGTTACATATAGAAGCAGAGTTTAAATGGATTTTTTTTTTTTTTTGAAATGAGTAAGAAAAAAAAAAGAAAAAACAACAAAAAACGCGAAATTGCCCAAATTAAATTTTGGTATTTTAGTTATTTTTTATTATTATTTTTATATGCAGAGGTTATCACTTAGATTTTCTGACATCAATTTGTACTGAAACTGACTGCCTTCAGACTTGTCGGAACCAATATCGTGGAGAGAAATGTAAGGCGGACCTAATTAAAGCAAAGTCTACTACCTTTCGATAGATTATTTTCTAGAGACACTTGTTCTGTCTCCAGTCTACGAGTTAAGGAGTGTAATAGGTTATGTTAGGTTAATCTGGTAGGTCAATAAGCCACGCATAGACCAGTTTGGTCCTTTGCGATACCAGATGGAGTATGATAAAGCCACTGTCTTGTTTTATTCCACCCCAACAGCTTTTTTATTTAATGGCAGCTCCGTAATAGAGCCCAGAAGCTCCCTTCTGCTATCAGCTCTGTAAAGTCACCGCAGAAGACGCTCTATCAATAATTTATGTAATTTGTTAGTTTTGTAGTGTATAAAAACATTTATCAAACAGTTTTGCAAATTGCTATTATAAAGTGACAGACCTTAACAGAATATACCTGCAAATTCGAATCTATTGCCCTCTCCAGTATTTTTGGAGAACTACCGTAGTGCTATTTGTCAAAACCTTGGAGATAAGGTCTCAGCTCCTTTGTTGCCAATAATTTTTACCACAAAAAATCGTTAAAAAACTATATTAAAGCCCCTCAAAACAAAAATTCTACAATAAAATTCAGGGAAGGAGTATGTTAACACTAACAGCAGGAGTCACCCAGGCGTATGAGTAACATTTCTCTAGTGCCAGTAAAAGGAAGGATAATATTGAATGACACCTAAACGTCTAAATTGATT